TTCCACCTCAGCCACCTGAGTAGCTGGGGCTACAGGTACGAATCACCATGCCTGGCTAACTTATTTAATTAATTAATTAATTTAGAGATGGAGTCTCACTTTGTCACTCAGTCTGGAGTGCAATGGCACGATCTCAGCTCATTGCAACCTCCACCTCCTGGGTTCAAGTGATCCTCCCACCTCAGCCTCCCCAGTAGCTAAGATCACAGGCATGTACTGCCACACCTGGCTAATTTTTTTGTATTTTTAGTAGAGACTAAGAGTTTCACCATGTTGATCAAGCTGTTCTTGAACTACTGACATCAAGTGATATACTTGCCTCCGCTTCCCAAAGTGTTGTGATTATAGGTGTGAGCTACCACACCCAGCCTTTTTTTTTTTTTTTTTTTTTTTTTTTTGACACAGAGTCTTGCTGTCACCCAGGTTGGAGTGCAGTGGTGTGATCTTGGCTTACTGCAACCTCCATCTCTAGGGTTCAAGTGATTCTGCTGTCTCAGCCTCCTGAGTAGCTGAGATTACAGGTGCCCACCACCATGCCTGGCTAATTTTTGTATTTTTAGTAGAGATGGGGTTTTTCACCAGGTGGGTCAGTCTGGTCTCAAACTCCCGACTTCAGGTGATCCGCCTGTCTCGGCCTCCCAAAGTGCTGGCTATTTTCTATTTTTTTATTTCTTAATTTTTTGTGTATGTGGAGATGGGGGTCTTGCTACATTGACCAGGCTGATCAACTCCTGGCCTGAAGTGATTCCCCCCAACAAAGCCTCCCAAATCACTGGGATTACAGGCAGGAGCCACTGCACCTGGCCTAATTTGCATTTCATTGATGCATTGTTAACTGCACACCCAATATCCAGTACCTGTTGTTTTGCTAATGGCAACTTGATTTTGTTAGTCCGTTTAGCCTTAGGTGAGATACCCATGTTTGCTACCTCCCTGGCAGCCTGGGGTGCCATGTGACATAGTTCTAACCAATGAGCTGTAACCAAATATGTTGGGACTTCTGGGAAGTCTTTTGCTTTTCTCGATATATGGGAAAATATAGCTAATGATCTGTGTCTTTTCTCTTTTATTCCTGCTTTGACCGTACATGTGATACGTGGAGCTAGGGCAGCCTTTCTGCCATCATAAAATGACAAGTATGAGGGAGTGGTCAAGGTAAATGACCCTGTGTAAGCCACAGTAACTCTCCTACTTGCCGCTGAAAGTACTCCTAAATGATGTTCACAGGGCAGCTGAGCATCAGTTTGTATGCTGTATGATAGCCCTTCCTTTGTCTCTCTGGCTCCTCTCTATTGGGGGTTTCTGGTGAAAGCCCCTTCTGTGTTGCAGAGTGGATGCAGAGTGAGTGTTCGTGGCCTTAGTCTGGTTTCTGTTGCTTATGACAGAATACCTGAAACTGAAACTAAATATACCTAATTTATAAAGAAAAGTAATTTATTTCTTTCAATTAGGAAGTCCAAGGTTGAGAAGCCACATCTGATGAAGAGCTTCTTGCTGGTGGGGACTCTCAGCAGAGTTCTGAGTGTGATGCAGGGCAACACATGGTGGGGGACTGAGCTAGCTCAGGTCTCTCTTCCTTTTCTTATAAACCCATCAGTTCTGGCTGGACACGGTGGCTCACACCTGTAATCTCAACACTTTGAGATGCTGAGGTGGGCCAATCACTTGAGACTAGGAGTTTGATACTAACCTGGCCAACATGGTGAAACGCTGTCTCTACTAAAAATACAAAACTTAGCTGGGCTTGGTGGTACATGCCTGTAATCCCAGCCATTTGGGAGGCTGAGGCACGAGAATTATGGAGGCTACAGTGAGCCAAGATCTCGGCCACTGCACTCCAGCCTGGGTAACAACAGCAAGGCTGTCTCAAAAAAAAAAAAAAAAAAAAAAAAAAAAAAAAAAGGCAGCTAGTTTTCCATGATGAATCTATTCATTCATGGGAATAGAGCCTTCATGATCCAATCACTTCTTAAAGGCCCCACCTCTCAATGCTATCACATTGGGGATTAAGTTTCAACATGAACTTTGGAGGGAACCATATTCAAACTGTATTCAAACCATAACAGTCATTAAGTCTGTTTTGAAGGAATGAGTGATACGATTTAATTCCGTAGGCAAACTGTTTTTCCAATGGAGAGTCCAGAATGAACCTTTACTTTTCTTTTTTTTTTTTTGAGACGGAGTTTCGCTTTTCTTACCCAGGCTGGAGTGCAATGGCACAATCTCGGCTCACCTCAACCTCTGCCTCCTGGGTTCAAGCAATTCTCCTGCCTCAGCCTCCTGAGTAGCTGGGACTACAGGTGCACGCCACCATGCCCAGCTAATTTTTGTATTTTTAGTAGAGACGGGGTTTCACCTTGTTGACCAGGATGGTCTCGATCTCTTGACCTCGTGATCCACCCTCCTCGGCCTCCCAAAGTGCTGGGATTACAGGTTTGAGCCACCACGCCTGACTCGAACCTTTACTTTTCTAGGGTAGGCAGCTCTTCCTAGTCATTTCTTAAACCAATATTCTCAAACTTGTTGGTCTTTTACTCCTTTATTAGGACTGGAAATTCTCACTTTCTAAAACTGTGCCTCTTACTCTTTTTCACATTATGACCCATCTGACATGATACTATTTGTTATATAACACAGCATTGTAAATGGACAGAGCCTGCTTGCTACAGACATAACACTTGGGAAGTCAGCTCCCCCCAAATTTTACCTGCTCGCCTCTAGGCCAAGGGCATAATATCTCTGCACAGCTAATAGCCCAGTGGCCACCCTAGTCTAGAAGCTTTGCTCTGCACAGAGCTGAAAGTTCGTTTACCCCTCAGTGAAGAATATCATGATTCTTTAAAATTTATGCTGGTATTGGCCAGGCGAGATGGCTCATGCCTGTAATTTCAGCACTTTGGGAGGCCAAGGCGGGCAGATCATTTCAGGTCAGGAGTTTGAGACAAGCCTAGACAACATGATAAAACCCCATCTCTACTAAAAATATAAAAATTAGCTGGGCGTGGTGGTGGGCACCTGTAATCCCAGCTACTCAGGAGGCTGAGGCAGGAGAATCACTTGAACCTGGGAGGTCACTGCACTACAGCCTGGGCAACAGAGCAAGCCTCTCTCAAAAAAAAATGCCAATATCAAGATTACACAACTACATAACAATTCTAAATGTTTGGCTACCACCTAGTGATCTAAAATGGATTTGTGTTTCTAATTATCTGGAGTTTGACTGTTTTCATCCATCCATTCATCCACCCACCCTTCTACTCTTCCATCCAACCATCCATCTGCCCTTCCACCCATCTGTCCACCCTCCCATCCACCATTTACCCACCCATTCACCCAACCTCCCATCCATCCATTCACCCACCCACCCATCCAGCCATCTTCTCGTTCTTCCATCCATTTATCTTTATCCCCTTTTCTTTTCCTTTTTAACCCTTTTATTTAAGTTCAGGGGTACATGTGCAGGTTTGTTACATAGGTAAACGTGTCGTGAGGGTTTATTGTACATATTAATTCATCACCCAGGTACTAAGCCTGGTACCCATTCGTTATTTTTCCTGATCCTTTCCCTCCTCTCAGCCTCCACCCTTATTTATCTTTCAATACATCCGTCACCAATATCCATTCTCCCATCTGTCCATCTATTCTGGCCCACCAGCCTTAAGTGATCTGGCCCCTGCCAATCTTTGTGACCCCATTTTAAAAATCATTATCTATGGATTTCTTAAGTCTCCAGTGATTTCTTTCTGTTCCTTAAATGCACCAACTCTATTCTTTGCGTGTGCTTTCCCCCTCTGGACTGATTTTCTTGTAGTCTTGCCCTAACTGGCTTTTTATCATCATCATTCATATCTAAGCTCAATTCAACTTTTCAGACAGACTTTTCCTGGCCATTGTAAAATATGCACCCCTCCCAACCTCAAGTCCCTCTGCCACTTTACATGGTTTTCTTTCATTTACAGTTCTTATTACTTCCTAGTATTTTCTTGTTGGAGTTTTATTTGGTATTGTCTGCTTCCCCTTCCAGAATGTAGCTAGAAAGCTATGTTTCCTCTAGAAAGCTTGTCTGGATTGCTCACAGCTGGATCCTAATACTCAGAACAAAGTACCCTTAATGTTAGTGACTTCAAACAAACAAAAATTTATTTCATGTTGTATTAGTCTGTTTTCACACTGCTGATAAAGACATACCTGAAACTGAGAAGTTTACAAAAGAAGGAGGTCTCTGACCTCACAATCATGGGGAGGCCTCACAATCATGGCGGAAGGTGAAAGGCACATCTCACATGGTGGCAGACCAGAGAAGAGAGCTTGTGCAGGGAAACTCCCCTTTTTAAAACCATCAGATCTTGATAATAAGACTTACCAACTATCAAGAGAATAGCACAGGAAAGAACTGCCCCTGTGATTCAATTACCTCCTACTTGGTCCCTCCCACAACAGGTGGAATTTAAGATGAGAGTTGGAGGCCGGGCATGGTGGCTCAAACCTGTAATCCCAGCGCTTTGGGAGGCCGAGGCGGGTGGATCACGAGGTCAAGAGATCGAGACCATCCTGGTCAACATAGTGAAACCCTGTCTCTACTAAAAATACAAAAAAAAAAAATTAGCTGGGCATGGTGGTGCCTGCCTGTAATCCCAGCTACTCAGGAGGCTGAGGCAGGAGAATTGCCTGAACCCAGGAGACAGAGGTTGCAGTAAGCCGAGATCGTGCCATTGCATTCCAGCCTGGGTAATGAGGGAAACTCCATCTCAAAAAAAAAAAAAAAAGATGAGAGTTGGGTGGGGACGTAGCCAAACCATATCACATGTTCACACTGCACAGCCACTGTGAGTTAGCATTGTTACCCCATAGCTCTCTCACTTAGAGACCTGGCTGGACAAGCCTTCACCCTCTGGAACTTCCTTCATCCTCCCTGCAGGAGGAAGGGAACAGGGGATAGTGACCTACCCCCAAAGGCTTCCTCACAAAGTGACCTGGGCTACTTTTTGCTCACATTTCAGTTGTCAGAGTGGACATTTGGCCATACCTAACTTCAAGCGTGTGGGGAACTGCGGTCCCACCATGTACCTAGAAGAAGAACCAGACCTGGAGGTGACCAAGGCTCATGACTTCCACCTAGGTGAGGCAGCCACAAGCAATAAATGCTCTGAGGGGCTTTGTTGGAAGGGGCAGCTGAGTGTAGACTCTGCTGATACGTGAAGGAGCCAGGGGTTGGTTTCTTTGAGTGGTGATGGGCCGGTATAAGAAAGTATTCATAGAGAAGCTAACATGGCTTGAGCCTGGAAAGAGCAGCAGCTGCTCACCAGCATGGTGGAGCTGGGGCAGGGTCGGGCACTGGGCAGAGGGGCCAGCCATAGCAAAGGCACGGAGCCCTGTGACTGTGCCAGGACCTGCGCCCTGTGGGAAAGGGGTGTGTCTGGCTTTGAGTGACGCAGTGGGTGGTGGGGAATCTGGAAATACGATCTGAGTGCAGGTCTTGGAGGGTCCCATCTGGACTTGATTCTCCATAAGTAACGGGGACAGTGTAGCTTGCAAAGTAGGGGAGGGACGTGTTCAGAATTGTGCTTCAGAAATGAGAATCTGGAGGCAGATAGCTTGATCAAGGGCAGATGAGATCAAGGATCGGTAGACAGTTGGGAAACTATCCACAGTCATCCATGTGAGAGATGAGGACTGAACTGAGGCAGAAGCAGTGGGGATTTCAAAAAGGAGTCTAAGACCACAGATGCTTGAGAAGGGTGGTGGGGAGGTTGAGGCTGTTGGTTGGACATGGACTAGGGGAGGGGAATGAAGGATCTGCTGGGCTTGCTGAGCAGGATGTGGGTGAGTTGGGGGGCAGAGGACATATCCAATGTGGACATTCAGGTGGATGCCCAGGCCTGGGAGTAGTCCAGGAGTGCAGCTGTGTGTGTCTCCTGCCCCACAGACAGCCATGAAGGGATGCTGGTATACATGTCAGCCCAAGGTAGGAGGAAGAGCTGGGTGGAGCAGGAAGAGGAGGGTCCAGACCTTCCTACCAAAGCCTCTTTACCCGGAGGAGCACAGGCTGGGCTCTCGTTCCTGTCCTCCCTGTCGTTCCTGACTGGATAAACTTGGTGGGCTCCTGTAACTGTTTGGTTCTAGACTTCTTCTTCTGCACAAGAGGGATGCTGCCTCATGAGCTTGTGGGGACCCTCACATGCTGAGCTTTTTAACTTAAAAAAAAAGCACATGACTAAATGAGTATATTTTCATTGCAAAAAATCAAAACATGGAACAGCAAAAGTCCAAGTTTTTGTTCTCCAAACTTCCTTACCCCCCTGCCACCTGCCCAGTTCCTTCCTTTCCCTTTCCGGGTATCCATTTAAACTGTTTGCTTCACATTGTTTTTTCTTTTTATTATTTATTTATTTTTTTTACATCAACTCTTGCACATATGTTTCCTTCACATTTACTTACAGACATAGACTTGTAAAACAAAGAGTTTTGGTTTTGGTATTTCCCTCTAACATTTTGTCCTGAAAAACCTACAGAAAAATTGCAAGAATTACAGAATGAACACTCTTATAACCACCTAGGTTTTAGAATAAACACTTTGCAGTCCTGTCTTACCACATACCTCATTTACCCACGCTTCCTTTCTTCCATCCATCCTTCTACACTTTCACTTTAGCATACAGTGAGTTGCACCAATCTAGAGTCAACATCGTGTAAGGGTTTTTTGTTTTGTTGTTGTTGTTGTTTGAGACTGGGTCTTGTTCTGTCACCCAGGCTGGAGTGAAGTGGCATGATCTTGGCTCACTTCAACCCTTGCCTCCTGGGCTCAAGTGATCCTCCCGCCTTAGCCTTCTAAGTAGCTAGGACCACAGGCGCACACCACCACACACCACTAGTTTTTGCATTTTTTGTAGAGATGGGGTTTCGCCATGTTGCCCAGGCTGGTCTTGAATGCCTGAGCTCAAGCTATCTGCCCACCTAGGCCTCCCAAAGTGCTGGGATTACAGGTGTGAGCCACTGCACCTGGCCTATATTCTTTACTTTAAAACCTCAGAAGATAACTTATCTCAAAGAAAAACTTACTAAAAGTAAGGATTTCTAATTGGCTGATTCTTTTTGTTTAATTTGTGGTAAGAACATTTAACATGGGATCTACCCTCTTCACAAGTTAAGTGTACATTGCAGTGTTACGGACTCTAGGCAGGATGTTGTGCAGCGCATCTCCAGAACGTGTTCATGTTGCATTGCTGAAACTTTCAACAGCAATGTCCCACTTCCTCCTCCCCTCAGCCCCAGAAACCACCGTTGTACTCTCTACTTCTGTGAGTTTGACTATTTTAATTAATTAATTAATTATTTTAGATAGAGTCTTGCTCCGTTGCCTGGGCTGGAGTGCAGGGCATGATCTTGGCTCACTGCAACCTCTGCTTCCCAGGTTCAAGCAATTCTCCTGTCTCAGCCTCCCAGGTAGCTGAGATTATAGGCACCTGCCACCATGCTGGGCTAAATTTTAAAACAGTTTTAGTAGAGATGAGATGGAGTTTTACCATTTCGGCCAGGCTGGTTTCGAACTTCTGACATCAAGTGATCTGCCTGCCTCAGCCTCCCAAAGTGCTGGGATTATAGGTGTGAGCCACCACGCCCAGCCTCTTTTTTCTTTTGAGAGAGAGTCTAACTGTCCCCCAGGCTGCAGTGCAGTGGCATGATCTCGGCTCACTGCAACCTCTGCCTCCCAGGTTCAAGTGATTCTCCTGCCTCAGCCTCCTGAATAGCTGAGATTACAAGCATGTGCCACCACACCTGGCTAATTTTTATATTTTTAGTAGAGACTGGGTTTCAGCGTGTTGGCCAGGCTGGTCTCAAACTCCTGACGTTGAGTGATTCACCCACCTTGGCCCCTCAAAGTGCTGGGATTACAGGCATCAGCCACCATGCCCAGCCCACAATTTCTTTCTAGGTAGATGGTGATATCATCTTCAAATTATGACAATTTTGTCTCATCTTCCGATTCTTACATCTTTTCTTTCTTTTTCTTTTCTTGTGGCATTGACCAGGACAGTGGAGTTCTGTGTTAAACCATAGGAGATTACTGAGTATTTTTGTGTTAATTAGCCCTGACCTTAAAGGGTTAATTAATTAAGGATTTTTGCAATTTTTTTTATCAAGCAAAATTTTGAGATAAGGTTTTGGTATATGAAATTTACTAGTTGAGAAAGTTTCTTCCAGTCTTAATTAGCTAAAAGGGAAAAAAAACATAAGTAGGCTTTGAATCTTATCAAATTTCTTTTTTGAATAGACTGAGATAACTATATATTTTTTCCTTTTTAATGTGGTAGCTCACATTAATAGATTTTTTGATGTTGTAAAATTCTTCTCAGGACTTTGGGAGGCTGAAGCAGGACGATTGCTTGAGCTCAGGAGTTTGAGACCAGCCTCCCTATTAAAAAAATGTGTATATATACATACACATATATATATATACACACACACACACACACATATACATAATATAAACAAGAAAAATTCCTATTTTTTTTTTTTTTTTGAGACGGAGTTTCGCTCTTGTTACCCAGGCTGGAGTGCAATGGCGCGATCTCGGCTCACCGCAACCTCCGCCTCCTGGGTTCAGGCAATTCTCCTGCCTCAGCCTCCTGAGTAGCTGCGATTACAGGCACGCACCACCATGCCCAGCTAAATTTTTGTATTTTTAGTAGCGACGGGGTTTCACCATGTTGACCAGGATGGTCTCGATCTGTTGACCTCGTGATCCACCCGCCTCGGCCTCCCAAAGTGCTGGGATTACAGGCTTGAGCCACCGCGCCCGGCCTACAAGAAAAATTCTTACATTCCTAAACTGAGTTTTAGTTGATTTTATATGCAGTTGGCTCTTGTATCCTGGGCATTTACATTCGTAGTTTCAACTAACCGTGGATCAGAAATATTGGGAAAACAAAAGCAATCAAAATAACAAGAAGAAAAAATAATACAAATAAGAAATCAATGCAACAACTTTTTTTTTTTTTTTTTTTTTTTTTAAGATGGAGTCTCACTCTGTCGTTCAGGCTGGAGTGTAGTGGCACGATCTCAGCTCACTGCAACCTCTGCCTCCCGGGTTCAAGTGATTCTCCTGCCTCAGCCTCCTGAGTAGGGATTACAGGCATGTGCCACCACACCTGGCTAATTTTTGTATTTTTAGTAGAGACAGCGTTTCCCCATGTTGGTCAGGCTGGTCTCGAACCCCTGACCTCATGATCTGCCTGCCTCAGCCTCCCAAAGTGCTGTGATTACAGGCATGAACCACTGTGCCTGGCCATCAACAACTTTTTTTTTTTGAGACAGTCTTGCTTTGCTGCCTAGGCTTGAGTGCAGTGGCACCATCATAGCTCATTGCAGCCATGACCTCCTGAGCTCAAGTGATCCTCCCACTTCAGCCTTCTAACAGGCTGGTCTTGAACTCCTGGGCTCAAGTGATCATACGGGCTCAGCCTCCCAAAGTGTTGGGATTACAGGAGTGAGCCACGGTGCCTGGCCCTAACAACTATTTACATAGCATTTACATTGTAATAGGTAATAGTGTAGCATTTACATTGTATTAGGTAGTAATGCAAATAATTTAGAGGCGATTTAAATTACACAGAGGATGTGCATAGGTTATATGTAAATACAGACACTCCTTGACTTACACCCATAGTATAGACTGAAGATATGGTGAGTTGAATTTACAATGGGTTTATCCAGATGTAACTCCATTGTAAGTTGAGAAGCGTTCTGAATGCCCATTGCTTTCATACCATTAGCAAGTCAAAAAATCCCAGTTGAAGCCATCATAAATTGGGGACTGACTGTATGATGCTATTTTATATAAGGGACTTGAGCGTTGTGGATTTTGGGAGGAGGGTCCTAGAGCAACCCCCCTGCGGATACGGAGGGACTGCTGTATATATACATCTACAGGGCAAGATTGTTTATTTCATTTTTTTTTTATTTTTGAGACGGAGTTTCACTCTTGTTACACAGGCTGGAGTGCAATGGCGCAATCTCGGCTCTCCGCAACCTCCGCCTCCTGGGATCAGGCAATTCTCCTGCCTCAGCCTCCTGAGTAGCTGGGATTACAGGCATGCACCAACATGCCCAGCTAATTTTTTGTATTTTTAGTAGAGACGGGGTTTCACCATGTTGACCAGGATGGTCTCGATCTCTTGACCTCGTGAACCACCGTGCCTGGCCTATGTTTTAAAATTATACCATGTTGAGGGTGATGACTGGCATATAGACTATGATGGTTTTTATTTTGTATGCTGAAGTATTTTGATAGGACCAGAAATGTTACAGAAATAAAGATCTTAAATAAAATATAATAAGTTGATATATATGTATACTATTTGATTCTATTGGCTATATTTTGTTTTACATCAGTGATCATAAGTAAAATATGGTTTTATAATTTAATTAATTAATTAATTTTTGTTTTTGAGATGGAGTCTCGCTCTGTGGCCCAGGCTGGAGTGCGGTGGCGAGATCTGGGCTCACTGCAACCCCTGCCTCCTGGGTTCAAGCGATTCTCCTGCCTCAGCCTCCCGAGTAGCTGGAATTACAGGTGCGTGCCCCCATGCCCAGCTAATTATTTAATTTGTAGTAGAGACGGGGTTTCACCATGTTGGTGAGAATGGTCTCAGTCTCCTGACCTAGGGGTCCGCCCACCTCAGCCTCCCAAAGTGCTAGGATTACAGGCGTGAGCCACCGCACCCACCCTATAATTTTATTTTTTGTGTTCATCTTATCTGATTTGAGAATTTAAAATTCTAGTTACATAAGATGAATTGGATAATTTTTATACTTTTTCTATTTTTTTGTACAGCGCACTATCCAGTAGAAATATAATGTAAAACACATGCAATTTAATGTTTGTAGTAGCGACTTTAAAAAGCAAAAAGAAGTATGTGAAATGAATAATTCAATATATCCAAAGTAGTGTCGTTTAAATATGTTATCAACATAAACATGAATGAAATATCTCACCTTCTATTTTTGCACTAAGTTTTTGAAATCTGGTATTTTATATTGATATTATTTCTGAATTCAGACACTAAATTTTCATAAATACGTGGTTTGTATTTAGGTTTTATAAAATTTACACTTCAAAAAGTAGATTCACATACGCGAATCGTTTCAAACATACCTGAAAGTTTTCTAATAGGATCTCTCCGCCCAAGCGTCTCGCCCCGCTCTCGCCCTGCGGACTCCGCCCTGACAGCAGCCTGCGAAGCACTGTCGTCCCGGGAAAGGGCACCTCCGACGGAAGCGCAGAGTCCCCGGGAGGCGCCGGAAGCCGGAGGAGGGCGGGAAGGCGCCGGAAGCCGGAGGAGGGCGGGGGGGAGGGGCCGAGGAAGGCGAGGGAGGTGAGGGGGGATAAGGAGAGGCGAGTGGGCGAGTGGGGCCGAATGGGTCGAGCGGCAGAGTCGCCAGCAGCGTGAGAGCGTCGCTCCTCCTGAAGGCCCTCAGGCGAAATGACCAGCGCTGACAAAGAGCAGGATGCAGAGGGCTCCTCTGGAGTGACTTTGGAGAGGAGATTACCCTTGGGAAGCTCCAGTTCGGATCCGCGTCCACAGACCCGGCGACCTCACACAGACTGGGCGTCCGGGGAGGAGGTGGTGGCTGTGAGCAACATAGTGAGGAAACCCGGCTCCTGCTACCCCCAGGTCTTTAGCCGGGACCCCAGGGCATCTGGGAGCAGGCCTGCGGCAGGGACCAGCATACTCTGGACGGGGCCTCTGCCTTTCTGGGGTCCTCCAGTTGAAGAAGGATGCGATGTGCAATAAACCCACCCTGTTGACCTCAAAAGCAGCGGGGAGCCCCAGGCACATGAGTGGGGAGGGGGACTTTGACCTGGCTCCCGTGCATCTACCCACCTGCGTGAATTGCCAGGTGCAGGACGAGCTTGAGTGGACGCTGGGTTCTCAGAGCCCCTTGAGGCTCCTGTACGTGGGCTACCTGTGCCGCCTCGGGCAACCCAGAGAAACCCTTCCTCCTGCCAGGTGAGCTGCAGGCTAGGCGCCAGGCCTGTGTGTGCCCGGGTCAGGGATTTCTCTGTGAACAGCCCGTCATCCCATAATAACCTTTTTTAAAAAAAAATATATATATATACTTTTAAGTTCTGAGGTACATGTGCAGATCTTGCAAGATCGTTACATGGGTATACACATGCCATGGTGCTTTACTGCCTCCATTCCCTACCCTCCTCACTTACATTAGGTATTTCTCCCAGTGTTATCCCTCCCCAATCCCCCCATCCCCTGCTATCCTTCCCCTAGCCTCCCACCCCACAACAGACCCCAGTGTGTGATGTTCCCCTCCCTGTGTCCATGTGTTCTTATTGTTCAACACTGACCTGTGAGTGAGAACATGCGGTGTTTGGTTTTCTGTTCTTATGTCAGTTTGCTGAGAATGATGGTTTCAGATTCATCCATGTCCCTGCAAAGGACATGAACTCATCATTTTTTAATGGCTGCATAGTATTCCATGGTGTATATGTGCCACATTTTCTTTATCCAGTCTATCATTGATGGGCATTTGGGTTGGTTCCAAGTCTTTGCTATTGTAAACAGTGCTGCAATGAACATATGTGTGCATGTGTCCGTATAATAGAGCAATTTATAATCCTTTGGGTATATACCCAGTAATGGGATTGCTGGGTCAAATGGTATTTCTATTTCTAGATCCTTGAGGAATTGCCACACTGTCTTCCACATGGTTGAACTAATTTACACTCCCACCAACAGTGTAAAAGCGTTCCTATTTCTCCACATCCTCTCCAGCATCTGTTGTCTCCAGATTTTTTTTTTTTTTGAGACGGAGTTTCGCTCTTGTTACCCAGGCTGGAGGGCAATGGCGCGATCTCGGCTGACCGCAACCTCTGCCTCCTGGGTTCAAGCAATTCTCCTGCCTCAGCCTCCTGAGTAGCTGGGACTACAGGCATGCGCCATCATGCCCAGCTAATTTTTTTTTTGTATTTTTAGTAGAGACGTGGTTTCACCATGTTGACCAGGATGGTCTCGATCTCTTGACCTCATGATCCACCCGCCTCGGCCTCCCAAAGTGCTGGGATTACAGGCTTCAGCCACCGCGCCCGGCCATCTCCAGATTTTTTAACGATCGCCATTCTAACTGGCGTAAGATGGTATCTCAATGTGGTTTTGATTTGCATCTCTCTAATGACCAGTGATGATGAGCATTTTTTCATGTTTGTTGGCCACATAAATGTCTTCTTTTGAAAAGTGTCTGTTCATATACTTTGCCCACTTTTTGATGGTGTTTTTTCTAGTAAATTTGTTTTTGTTCTTTGTAGATATTAGAAGGAAAAACATTCCATGCTCATGGTTAAGAAGAACCAGTATCATGAAAATGGCAATACTGCCCAAAGTAATTTATAGATTCAGTGCTATCCCCATAAAGCTACCATTGACCTTCATCACAGAACTGGAAAAAAACCACCTTAAACTTTATGTGGAACCAAGAAAGAGCCCGCATAGCCAAGACAATCCTAAGCAAAAAGAACAAAACTGAAAGCATCACACTACCTGACTTCAAACTATACTACAATGCTGCAGTAATAAAAACAGCATGGTACTGGTACCAAAACAGAAGTATAGACCAATGGAACAGAACAGAGGCCTCGGAAGTGACACCACACATCTACAACCATCTGATCTTTGACAAACCTGACAAAAACAAGCAATGGGAAAGGATTCCCTGTTTAATAAATGGTTTTGGGAAAACTGCCTAGCCATATGCAGAAAGCTGAAACTGGACCCCTTCCTTATACCTTATGCAAAAATTAAGTCCAGATGGATTAAAGATTTAAACATAAGACCTAACACCATAAAAACCCTAGAAGAAAACCTAGCAATACCATTCAGGACATAGGCATAGGCAAGGACTTCATAACTAAAACACCAAAAGCAATGGCAACAAAAGCCAAAATAGACAAATGGGATCTAAGTAAACTTAAGAACTTCTGCACAGCAAAAGAAACAAGCATTAGAGTGAACCAGCAATCAATAGAATGGGAAAACATTTTTGCAAGCTACCCATCTGACAAAGTGCTAATATCCATGTTATTCTAGCCTCTTGTTCTGAAGAAACATGAATTTCATGTACAAACATGGATTTTGCATGTTTTAAATTGTAAATGAGGCTTAATCCAAGAAACTTGGAACGTGAAGCAGCCTCGAATTTAGTCATGCCCCACCATCCTCCAGGGTAAGCTGAGGAGCAGAGTTAATTGGTTTTCCACAGGTATTTGCCACTTGTCAGATGGGCTGTTCTGGATGTAACCACGTAATTCCTGGGACCCACTGAGAGTCAGCTTCCTTTACAGGCATCTAACAAGGTGTGCTCAGAGCCAAACACCTTGAAGATCTTCATGGAAACAATTTTTGGCCTTTTATCAAGATGTCATTCAGGGCTCTGAGCTGTCAAACACGTTGAATTGAGCTGTTAGGTGGATGGGTTTGATGTAAGTTTACGGTATGCATTTGGTACTTGTCAATAGAGCAAGTCATGATATTGCAAAAGTAAAGAAAACCTTCTTTAAAAAAGACAAGTGGCTGGGTGTGGTGGCTTACACCTGTAATCCCAGCACTTTGGGAAGCTAAGGCGGGTGGATCATGAGGTGAGGAGTTCAAGACCAGCCTGGCCAGCATGGTAAAACCCTGTCTCTACTAAAAATACAAAAATTAGCCAGGCATGGTGGCATGCGCCTGTAGTCCCAGCTACTTTGGAGGCTGAGGCAAGGGATTTGCTTGAACCCAGGAGGCAGAGGTTGCCGTGAGCCGAGATCCTACCACTGCACTCCAGCCTGGGTGACAGGGCAAGACTCCATGTCACAAAACAAAACAAAACGAAAGAAAAAAAAAGAAAAGCAGGGCCGGGCACAGTGGCTCACGCCTATAATCCCAGCACTTTGGGAGGCCGAGGTGGGTGGATCACGAGGTCAAGAGATCAAGACCCTCCTGGTCAACAAGGTGAAACCCCGTCTCTACTAAAACTACAAAAATTAGCTGGGTATGGTGGTGCGCACCTGTAGTCCCAGCTACTCGGGAGGCTGAGGCAGGAGAATTGCTTGAACCCAGGAGGTGGAGGTTGCGGTGAGCCGAGATCATGCTATTGCACTCCAGCCTGGGTAACAGTGAATCTCGGTCTCAAAAAAAAGAAAGAAAAAAAAGCAGTATGAGCTCAAACAGTATCCACCAGTGACACTTTTAAAAGTTCATGGCTCAAATCTTCCTCACCTGTTGCCTCTCTCATCCCCAGTATTCTTCATTCCTCAGAATGAGCCTCCCTGGGGCCTCTGAGGCTCCCTCACAACCGGGCTCAGTTATCTCCCCTGGCTGGAAGAACACAGAAACTGTGTCGCACTCTGCTTGGTGCCTCCCTCCAGGGCCCATATTTGTTACCTGTCCCAGCCCCGGTGATGTCATCATTCATGGCCTGGTGGGGTGGCATCTGCCAGACCCATCCACCTTCAATTTACAAGGGGGACTTTACTCTGAATAGAATTTTGTGGGGAGATAGTGTAACACAATGTGTATTAGCTCTTTCTTATCTAACTAGCTGGTCAGTTCCTATCTGTGTCTATTCATCTATCTACCATCTATCTATCTATCTATCTTCATATAAAAAAAAAATTCCTCAATCAGTACATTATTCAATGAGCTGCATTTTGTTACAATCATTTATTTTCATGCTTCTTAGCCAGATTTGGGAGGTGGAGACTTCTAAAGCACTCTCTCTCTCTCTCTCTCTCTCTCTCTCTCTCTCTCTCTCTCTCTCCCTCTCTTTTAAGATGGAGTTTCACTCTTGTTGCCCAGGTTGGAGTGCAATGATGTGATCCTGCCTCACTATAACCTCTGCCTACTGGGTTCAAGCAATTCTCCTGCCTCAGCCTCCTGAGTAGCTGGGATTACAGGTGTGCGCCACCATGCCCAGCTAATTTTTGTATTTTTAGTAGAGACAGGGTTTCACCAAGTTAGTCAGGCTGGTCTTGAACTCCTAACATCAGGTGATCCACCCACCTCAACCTCCCAAAGTGCTGGGATTACAGGTGTGAGCCATCATGCTCGGCCAGCTCTCATATTTTTACGCAAGGCATTCTAGGCTCCTCCTTCACCATTCCAGGTGCGATGTTGTTAGCAGCAACTTCATCGAGATATGTGATTCCTTCTCCCAGAGTGTGCTATGAAGAATTTGAGATCCAGTATTACCTGTGGTCATTTCATCTGGTGAGTCACTGGGCCCTCTCAGTAGACATAACCAGTAAATTTATATATTTCTTATATACAGACATCTATACTTTATGTTTCTGTATTTCATTGTGAGTGTCTGTGTGTGTGCATGTGTGTGTGTGTATAACAATAAGGTCTTCACAATGTCTCTAATTCTAATCCACCCCCTGGAATTCTTTATAGAGTGTTCCTTTCCCATGTTTTAACAGTGAGAAACTGGCTGTCATTCACCTCACTATATTTAACTACATGTAGTTTATGTGCTCATAAAAACCAATTTCATATCCATCCTGTCTGTGTTGTCTGTCTGCATCTCATGTTCTCCCAATACCTCCACATACTCAGATGCTATCTGGCTTGCGGCCAATGTGCCTCCATGTGGCTCTCTGCCCCCCAGTCCTACTCCCTCACTATTGGAATCCTTGGGTGCTGGCGGATGCACCAGTAACACACGCCTGCTCTGTCCACCATTTCCCTAGACAAGCAAAGTCCTATGAATTGCCTAGACAAGCAAAGTCCAATGAAATGTCTCACAAATTTTGTAATTTAACAAAATAACAAAGAAGAAAATGCTGCCATTTAAGCTGAAAGGTATAGGATGACTTACGCATTTTTTTCCTACAGACTTGAGGACAATAAACCCCACCCACTGAGGGCCTCTTTTCCAAAAGAGGGAAGCTTTGGAGACAGAAGCCATGCCCACTTTCCAAATACAAGGGCTTCTCAAGACAGGTCAAGCAGACAGGATGTTGGCTTGGTTCTTAAACTGCTCAGCTGCACCACATTCTGGGGACCATGGCAAGAATCTCCCCTTGGCAGTGCATTCTTTGGGTCAACATCCCTCCTTCCCAGTGCCAGATTCAGCACCGCCTGCATGTGAAGCTACATAAGCCAGGAGCTCCAGGTCCTGCCACCTGGTGGCATCAGCGACAGAGCTGAAGTTCCTACTTTCCTCCTGCCTCTATGTGGCCTAAATTTCACCAACACTACTGAAAATGCAACTATGAAGTACTTAGTGACAGATCACAGTTTGCAGAATTTTCATAGGATTGTGTCAGGCAGGAACTCTGTGTCAGTTCTGGGATTTTCTGGAACTTAGAGTCCTGAAAATCAAGAGTTTGGGCAGCATAAGGTTCCTACAAGTTTCAAACTCCATCGATGATTCCGAAGGAAAGCTTATATCGAGTTCCTAATATCTGTAACACAAGGAAATGACTTTGAAAAAGTCTTCATGAGCACCAAAAAAATGCTGTCATCAAGAGTAATCAGCTGTGTGATAGGAACACTGGATGGATGCAGCACTGTGGAAAGCCAGAAAGACAATGAAGGGCAAATGAAGTGCCTGGCTGGTCAAACACTACCCTAGGCAGACTCCACTGTCCATAGACTCTGAAGCACTGCCAATGGCCAAGATGAGCACAGACAGAGGAAAGAGAACAAATCATTCTCATGCTTGTGGTCGCAGCACACGCCTTCCACTTTCAGAATGTGCTCATGCATTTTTCCTTTTCTTTGTTACATACAAGTTCATCCTGGCATTTGTATGTGGTTCAGCCTCTAACATTTAGTTAACCACACAAGTAGTAAGAGCCATTCAAAATATTTATTTTATTCATACACTCAGTAATATACAGTATAAGTCACAACAAACAAGTAAGCTAAAATACAATTTGAAATTTAAGTCAGAGGTCTCTCTCATTTTTTTTTCTGTGACGGAGTTCTTTCTTGTTTCCCAGCCTGGAGGGCAATGGTGCGATCTTGACTCACTGCAACATGCACCTCACAGGTTCAAGTGATTCTCCTGCCTCAGCCTCCCAAGTAGCTGAAATTACAGACGTGCACCACCATACCCGGCTAATTTTGCATTTTTAGTAGATACGGGGTGTCATCATGTTGGTCAGGCTGATCTCGAACTCTTGACCTCAAGTGATCCACTCACTTAGGCCTCCCAAAGTGCTGGAATTACAAGGCATGAGCCACTGCACTCAGCCTATCAAATGATTAAAAATCAGTTTATTACAGTATTTAATATTAAAAATGTAATATTTAAAAAAGTAGTAGAGGCCCGGCATGGTGGCCCATGCCTGTAATCCCAGCACTTTGGGAGGCTGAAGTGTGTGGATCACAAGGTCACATGTTCAAGACCAGCCTGACCAACATTGTGAAACCCCACCTCTACTAAAAATAAAAAATTAGTTGGGTGTGGTGGCACCTGCCTGTAATCCCAGCTACTAAGGTGGCTGAGGCAGGAAAATCACTTGAAACTGGGAGGTGGAGGTTGTAGTAAGCCGAGACTGTGCCACTGTATTCCGGCCTGGTGACAGAGCGAGACTCCATCTCAAAAAAAAAAAGTAGCTAGAGACTATAATATTACAACTTATGACAGACTAAAAAATCCATTTTATTGTCCATGACACTTTATAATAAGAAATTTCATTAACTATAAGAACACATTTTTTCTATAGATTTATATTTCCTTCCCAGATTTTCTTATATGAATTGCTATTTTGGATATTTTACAGTAGAGGTAAATGAGCCGGATGTGGTGGCTCACGCCTGTAGTCAGCACTTGGGGAGGCTGAGGTGGGCGGATCACGAGGTCAGGAGTTCAAGACCAGCCTGGCCAACATGGTGAAACGGTGTCTCTACTAAAAATACAAAAAATTAGCTAGGCATTGTGCATGCCTGTAATTCCAGCTACTTAGGATTCTGAGGCAGGAGAATTAATTGAACGCGGGAGGTGGAGGTTGCATCGAGCTGAGATTGCACCACTGCACTCCAATATGGGTGACAAAGTGAGACTCTTTCTCAGAAAAAAATATATTAACAGTAAATAAAATAATAATACTTAATTACAATTTGTTGGATCTACTAAAAGAACTAGAGAAGCAAGAGCGAACAAATCCCAAAGCTAGCAGAAGATAAGAAATAACCAAAATCAGAGCTGAACTGAAGGAGACAGAGACACATTACAAAAAAACATTCAAAAGATCAACGAATCCAGGATCTGTTTTTTGAAGAAAAAAAAAATACATAGACTTCTAGCTAGACTAATAAAGAAAAAAGAGAAGACTCAAATATTAACACAATCAAAAACAGTAAGGAGAAAATTACCACAGACCCCACAGAAATACAGACAACAATCAGAGAATATTATAAACACTGTATGCACATAAACTAGAAAATCTAGAAGAAATGAATAAATTCCTGGAAACATACACTATCCCAAGACTGAACCGGGAAGAAATTGAATCCCTGAATGGACCAAGAACAAGTTCTGAAATTAAGGCAGTAGTAAACAGCCTTACTAACAAAAAAAAGAAGCTCGGAATCAGATAGATTCACAGCTGAATTCTATCAGATATAGAAAGAAGAGCTGGTACCATTCCTGATGAACTATTTCAAAAAATTGAAAAGGAGAGATTCCTTCCTAACTCATCCTATGAGGCCAGCATCATCCTGATACCAAAACCTGGCAGAGACACAACAGAAAAAGAAAACTTTGGGCCAATATCCTTGATGCAAGAATCCTCAACAAAATACTAGCACATCTAATCCAGCAACACATCAAAAAGCTCACCGATCATGATCAAGCAGGCTTATTTTCTGGGATGCAAAATTGGTTCAACATCTACAAATCAATAAATGTGATTTATCACATAAACAGAACTAAAGACAAAAACCACATGATTATCTCAATAGAGGCAGAAGAGACTTTTGATAAAATTCAACATTTTTTCAAGTTAAAAGCACTCAATAAACTGATATTGAAAGAACATGCCTCAAAATAATAAGAGGCTTATATGTATGACAAACCCACAGCCAACATCATACTGAATGGGCAAATTCTGGAAGCATTCCCCTTGAAAACTGGCACATGACAAGGATGCCCTCTCTCACCACTTCTATTCAACATAGTATGGGAATTTCTGGCCAGAGCAATCAGGTAAGAGAAAGAAATAAAGGGCATCCAAATAGGAAGAGAGGAAGTCAAACTATCCCAGTTTGCAGATGACATGATTCTATATCTAGAAACCCCATCATTTCAGCCCAAAAGTTTCTTAAGCTGATGAGTAACTTCGGCAAAGTGTCAGGATACAAAATCAATGTGTAAAAATTGCTGGCATTCCTATACGCCAACAACAGTCAAAGTGAGAGCCAAATCATGAATGAACTCCCATTCACGATTGCCACAACATGATGAAAATACCTAGGAATATAGCTAACTAGGGAGGTGAAAGATCACAAGGAAAACTATAAGTCACTGCTCAAAGAAATCAGAGAAGACATAAACAAATGGAAAAACATTCCATGCTCATGAATAGGAAGAGTCAATATCATAAAAATGACCACACTCCCCAAAACAATGTATCGATTCAATGCTATTCTCATTAAACTATCACTGACATTCTTCACAGAATTAGAGAATACTACTTTAAAATTCATATGGAACCCAAAAATACCCCAAATAGCCAAGGCAGTCCCAAGCCAAACCAACAAAGCTGGAGGCATCATGTTACCTAACTTCAAACTGTACTACACTGCTGCAGTAACCAAAACAGTGTGGTACTGCACAAGAGTGGAAGCATAGACCAATGGAACAGAATAGACCAAGATCAGATAGCAAAGACTACACACCTACAGCTATCTGATCTTCAACAAACACGATAAAAACAACTAATGCGTAAAGGATTCTCTATTCAGTAAATGATGCTTGGATAACTAGCTAGCCATGAGCAGAAGATTGAAACTCAACCCCTTCCTTACACCATATACAAAAATTAACTCAGAATTGATTAGAGACTTAAATGGAAAAAAACCAAAACTATAAAAACCCTGGAAGACAACTTAGGAAATATCATTCAGGACGTGGCCTGGGCAAAGATTTTATGATGAAGATGTCAAAAGCAATTGCAACTAAAGCAAAAATTCACAAATGGGATATAACTAAAGAGTTTTGGATAGCAAAAGAAACTACCAACAGAGTAATCAACCTACAGAATGGGAGAAAAATTTGCAAATTGTGTATCTGACAAAGGTCTAATATCCAGCATCTATAAGAAACTTAAACAAATGTACAAAAAAAGCAAATAACCCCATTAAAAAGTGGGCAAAGGACATGCAGAGATACTTTTCAAAAGAAGACATACATGTAGCCAACAATCATATGGAAACAATTTTAACATCACTGATCATTAGAGAAATGCAAATCAAAACCACAATAAGAGACTGTAAATTAATTCAACCATCATGGAAGACAGTGTGGTAATTCCTCAAAGACCTAAAGCCAGAACTACCATTTTATCCAGCAATCTCATTACTGGGTATATACCCAAAGGAATATAAATCATTCTGTTATAAAGGCACATGCATGCATATGTTCATTGCAGCACTATCCATGATAACAAAGATTTGGAATCACTCTAAATGTCCATATATGATAGGCTGGATAAAGCAAATGTGGTACGTATACATTATGGAATACTATGCAGCCATAAAAAGAAGAGTATCATGTCCTTTGCAGGGGACACGGATGGAGATGGAGGCCGTTATTCTTAGCAAATTAATACTGGTACAAAAAACCAAACACTGTGTGTTCTCATTCATAAGCGAGAGCTAAATGTGGGTAAATGTGAAGATATGAGATTCACTGACAATGCTGAAAAATGAAAGGCATCACCAAAAGTGTGCAGATGTAGCTATCCTTGAGTCAGACAAAATAGACTTTAAGTCAAAAAACACAAAAAGAAACAATAAAGATTATAAAATAATTAAGAGATCAATTCTGGAAGAAGACAGAATATTAAATACATATGCACTCAACTCATGAACATCAGTTATCAAAGTAAATATGATTAAAGCTAACGATAAACCCAAAGGCAATCACAGCTGGGGGCTTTAACACCCAGTTTCAGCACTGGAAACTCCTCTAGGCAGAACGTCAACCAAGAAGTTTCAGACTTAAACTGCAACATAGACCAAATGGATCCGACAGATAATTACAAAACATTTCATTCAACAACTGAAAAATTTACATTTTTCTCATCAGTACATGAAACATTCTCCAGGATAGACCACACTAAACAAATCTCAAAAAGCATTTTTAAGGGCTGGGTGCAGTGGCCCATGCCTATAATCCCAGCACTTTAGGAGGCCGAGGCGGGTGGATCACGAGGTCAAGAGATTGAGACCATCCTGGTCAACATGGTGAAATCCCATCTCTACTAAAAATACAAAAAAAAAAAAAAAAAATTAGCTGGGCATGGTGGCGTGCGCCTGTAGTCCCAGCTACTCAGGAGGCTGAGGCAGGAGAATTGCTTGAACACAGGAGGCGGAGGTTGCGGTGAGCTGAGATCGCAGCATTGCACTCCAGCCTGGGTAGCAAGAGTGAAACTCCACCTCAGAAAAAAAAAAATGTGTTTTTAAAATGGAAATCATATTGACTATTCTTTCAGATGAAAATGTCATACAACTGAAAATCAATAACCATAAGAACTATGGAAACTGTACGAATACATGATATTTAAATAACATGCTCCTGAATAACCATTGGGTCAGTGAATAAATGAAAAAGGAAAGCAAGGCATTTCCTGAAACAAATGAAACTGGAAACACAATGTAAAGAGAACTTAGGGGATACAGCAAAAGCAGTACTCAGAGGGAAGTTTTGTAGCAATAAGTGCCTACATCAAAAAAGTAGTAAGATGGCCGGGTGCAGTGGCTCATGCCTGTAATCCCAGCACTTTGAGAGGCCAAGGTGGGTTGATCACTTGAGGTCAGGAGTTCAAGACCAGGGCCTGGCCAACATGGTGAAACCCCATGTCTAATAATATAAAAAGTAGCCAGGTGTGGTGGCGTGCACCTGTAATCCCAGCCACCAGGAGGCTAAATCACGAGAATTGCCTGAAGCCAGAAGGTAGAGATTGCAGTGAGCCAAAATCACACCATTGCACTCCAGCCTGGGCAACAAAGTGAAACCATGTCACCAGAAAAAAAAAAAAACGTAAAAAGATTTCAATTGAACAACCTCACAGTGCACCTCAAAGAATATGAAAAGCACACACACACCCCAAAATTTGAAGAAGGAAAGAAACAAGATCAGAGTAGATCCAAACAAAAGAAAGGCTAAAAAGGACAACAAAAGATCAATGAACAAGTTGTTTTTTTAAAAAAAGATTAAAAACTTGAGAAATGATTAGCTAGACTAACAAAATAAGAGAAGGACCCCCCCCCCCCGCCGCTCCCTGCCCCGCTGCCAAATAAAACCAGAAACAAAAAAGCAGACATTACTACTGATAACCCAGAAATACAAAAGCTCATGAGAGACTCTTATGAACAACTCTATGCCAGCACCTGGAGAAACCTGCAGGAAACGGACAGATTCCTGGGTAAACAGAACCTACCAAGATCTAACCAGGAAGAAGCAGAAAATCTGAACAGGACAATAACGAGCAACAAGATTGAGTCTGTAATAAAATCTCCCAACAAAGAAAGCTCAGCACTGTATGCCCTTACTGCTGAATGCTATCAAACTTTTAAAGAAGAACTAACATCAGTTCTTCTCCAAGGATCCCAAAAAAACGAAGAGGAGGAAATTCTTCTTATGCATTTCATGAGGTAAGCATTACCCTGATACCAAAACCAGACAAGGACACAACAAAAATAGATATTTCTGATGAACAAGGTGCAAAAATCAACAAACTACTGCCAAACTGACCTCAAGAACACATCAGAAAGATAATTGTGCATGATTGAGTGGGATTCATCCCAGGTATGCAAGGATGATTCGACACACATCATTCAATACAACACACCACACCACACCACATCAGTAGGACGAAGGACAAAATCCATTCAATCAGCTCCACAGATGAATACAAAGCATTTGATAAAATTCAATAGAACTTCAGCATACAACCCCCAAGAAACTGTGTATGGAAGAAACATACTTCAAAACTATAAACACCAAACAATCTCTGACAAACCCAGAACTAATATCATACTGAACAGTAAGGAGTTCAAAGCCTTTCCTCTAAGATTGAGAACAAGACAAAGACAACCACTTTTATTCACTATAAGTCTTAGCAAGAGGAATTTGACAAGAGAAAGAAATAATAGGTGTCCACATTGGAAAGGAAGAAGCTAAATTGTCCTTGTTTGCAGATGACAGGATCTCACATTTAGAGAAACCTAGAGTCCACCAAAAACTGTTGAAACTGACAAGCAAATTCAGTCAAGTTACAGGATCCAAAATCAACACACAAAAACAAGTAGTGTTACTGTACAAAAATAGTGAACATTCTTAAAAAAGAAAAAAAAAAAAAACAAGAGAGCAATCTCAGTTACTATAGCCACATTAAAAAAAGGAAAATACCTGGGAATAGATGTCACCAAATAAGTGAAAAATTTCTACAACAAAAATGATAAAACACAAAATAAATATATTAATGAGGTCAAAAAATGAAAAAAATCTATAATATACAAAGCAGTCTACAGATGAAATGCAATGTCTTTCAAAATACCAAGAAAATTCTTCGCTGAAGTAGAATAACAATGCTAAAATTACTATATAACCAAAGAAATCCCAAGGGAAAAGAACAAAGCTGGAGGCATCACACTACCTGACTTAAAAATATTTTACAAAGTCATGGTAACCAGCATGGTGCTGGCAGAAAGAGAGATGCAAAGGCCAGTGGAACACAATAGAGGTCCAGAAAGAAATCTGCCTGATTTTGGCTGTCCTCAAAGTGATGGGTGTGCTGCCTGGCTCAAGCTGGCAGCTGTGTGACTTGTGCTGTCTGTCCCAGGCTATGCCATGGTGCTGGGTGTGCTGCATGACTTCTGCTGTCACGGTCCTGGGCATGTTGGCTGGCCTAGGCTGTCTTCCTCGTGCTGGATGTGCTGGCTGTTCCAGGCTTGTCCCATGTTCTGGGCTTGTCACTGACCTAGTCTGTGCTTGAGGTGCTGGGTGTGCTGCTGGCCCAGAATGTCCTTATTTTGTTGGGCATGTTGATGACCCAGGCTTATCTGGTGGTGCCCGCCATGCTGTTGGGCCCATTCTGTCTTCATGGTACCAGGCATGCTGACTGCCTCAGTCTATCCAGTTGATGCTGTGAATTCTGGCTGGTCCAGGCTGTCCTCAAGGTGCTGAGTTTGCTGCCTGGACCACAGTGTCCTATTTGGGGAGTGTTGGCCCAGAGTGTCCTCACCGTTATGGGCCTACACACCCAGCACCATGAGTGCAGCCTGGGCCAGTCAGCACAACACAGCTCCAGCCAGCAGCCTAGACTAACCAACACACCCAGAATCTGGGCCACTCAATGCACCCAACACAATATGAACAGCCCAGGGCACCCAGCACACCCAGTGCCCTGGTGACAGCCTCGGTCAGCCACATGTCCAAAACAAGGAGGAATGCCCTCGCAAGCTAGCATGCCCGGCAAAATGAAGACGACCATGGTAAGCCTGCATACACAGTACCACAAGAACAGCCTAGGTCGGCCAGCACACCCATAAAAAGGAGGACTGCATAAGCCAGCCAGAACACCCAGGTTTATAACAGCCTGAGCCAGCCAGCATGCCTGGCAGCATGAAGACAGCCTGGGCCATCAGATATGCCAAGCAGCATGAGAAGAGCCTGGCCAGCATGCCCACCACCATGAGGATCCAGCCCAAGTCAGATGCAAGCCCAGAACCATGCAGAAAGCCTGTGCCAGCCAGCACACCCAGAAGTAAAAGGAGGCTGGCCCAGCCAGCCGAGCCAGCACCATGAGGACAGCCAGGGTCAGACAGAATTCACAGCATCATGTGGACAAACTGAGCCAGTCAGCATGCCCAGCACCACGAGGACAGAGTGAGCCAGACAGCACAGTCAGCACCATGAGGAGAGCCAGGATCATCCACCATGCCCCCCAACTCTGGGCCAGCCAACATGTCCTGCACTTTAAGTACAGACTGGGTCAGCCTTCAATCACAGAACCATGGGAAAATCCGGGAGAGCCAGCACACTCAGCACCATGAGGAAAGCATGAGCCAGCCAACATGCCCAGGACCAGGACAGTACGAGTCACACGGTACACCCAGCACCACGGAGACAGCCAGGGTTAGCCAGAATTCACAGCATCATGTGGACCAACAGTCAGTCAGCATGCCCAGCACCATGAAGACAGAATGGGCTGGACTGTGCAGCCAGCACCATGACAGTCTGGGTCAGCCAACATACGCAGCACTACAAGGAGAGCCTGCGCCTGCCAAGATGTCTGGCACCATGAGGACAACCCGGGCTGTATTTCTAGTAGAGATGGGGTTTTGCCATGTTGCCAAGGCTGGTCTCCAACTCCTGAAGTCAGGTGATCCATCCTCCTCGGCCTCCCAAACTGCTGGCATTACCACCAGGTGTGAGCCACCATGCCCAGCCCTTACATGGGGATTCGTGTTTTCATTTCTCTTAGGTACATTCCTACAAGTGTGATTTCTGGGTAACATGGCAAGCATTTGTTGAACTTTGTAAGTGTGGAAATGAGAACTCACCCAAATGAGAACAAGCAAAGCCTACCTATTCAGACCTTGCTATAGCCACTGTCACTTTTGCATTTAGCACGAACGTATATAAAAGCTATATACTTAAAACCCAGGCTCTGTAAAGCCAAAACCATTGTTACAAAAACGTTTGCACCAAAGCTTATTTATTTGGCTGCAAAGAAATTTGGAATAAGCAAAAAAGATGACCGGGTGTTTCTAATGGAAAACTATGCATTGTGTAACTGGCAGCTTGTTTTATTAATAGTGAATAAGTGTTTGTGGTACACAATCATGCCCACTGGTTGACACGTCATCTCTGGTTGCTTTCCTCCTACTGCAGAGTTTAGTAGCTGGAACAGATCTTAGAACCCACAAAGCCTAAAATATTTATTATGGGGTCCTTGTAGAAAATATTTGTCTGCCAGGCACGCTGGCTTACACCTGTAATCCCAGCACTTTGGGAGGCTGAGGCAGTCAGATCACTTGAGGTCAGGAGCTCGAGACCAGCCTGACCAATATGCCAAAACCCTGTCTCTACTAAAATACAAAATTAGCTGGGGATGGTGGTGCATGTCTGTAATCCCAGCTACTCGGGAGGCTGGGGCAGGAGAATTGCTTGAACCCAGGAGGCGGAAGTTGCAGTGAGCCAGGATTGTGCCACTGCACACTCCAGCCTGGGTGACAGGGTGAGACTTTGTCTCAAAAAAAAAAAAGAAAAGAAAAGTATTTGTCGACCTTGAGTATAAAGCATATTTTTCCCTGTTATCTGGTCATAGCCTTTCATTGCCTTTGGTATATTTACAACTTTGTAAATTGCAGCTGAGAGTAATATGCAAGTAACATCTTGTCTGTAGACATGTAAGTGAATTCTGTCCTTCTGGAGGGACAACTCTCTCCTGCAGTTTGGTGTCCCATTGTAATTTCAGCATTTCTCATCTATTAATATGTCCTTTGGATTCTCCTTTGAACTGCTGTAACATCTCGCCGATGTCCTCAATAATCATGAGTTAAATAAAATCCTTACCATGTGCTCATTCCATATCCTTATGACTATCTTAGCTTTCGTTGAAAATTATCCATTACTATAGCTTACTTGATATTTATTTACATTTACAAACAATTCTAACATGTTTGGTTGTTTGTCATTTAGGTTCCAAAACAGATTATGTGCAGAAAATCAGAAATTTACATGCACTAAGGGGTGCTTTTGAAAGAACCTCTATCTCCCAAGTTTAAGCGATTCTTGTGCCTCAGCCTCCCGTGTAGCTGGAAATACAGGCATGTGCTACCACGCCCGGCTAATTTTTATATTTTTGGTAGAGATGGGGTTTTGCCATGTTGGTCAGGCTGGTCTTGAACTCCTGACCTCAAGTGATCCATCCACCTTGGCCTCCCAAATTGCTGGGATTATAGGCATGAGCCACTGCGCCCAGCCTGACCTCTGATGTCCAGAGTTTTTATGGGATTGTATTACAGAGACATGGTTGATTAAAACGTTGTCTACATGATTGAAAACCTCTCTCATCCCTGAGGGTGGGTCAGCCCAAAGTTCCCACCCTCTAATCACATTCTTGGTCTTTCTGGAGATCAGCTCCATCTTGCAGCTATGTTGGGCCCGCTGTGGGTCATCTCATTGGCATAACAAAGGCACTCCTCTCTCTCAGGACAGTCCAGGAGTTTTGGAGCACTGTGCTAGAACCTGGGGACAGAGATAAAATACATTCTTTCTGATGCCATAGAACACCCTTGTCTTTGATCACAATTACCTAATAGCAAACTGCACACTCCTGTCTGAGCACCTGCATTTGGAGCAGCGTTTGTGTAGCAGATGCAGCAGTACAGCATGAATATACGGAATGTTTGGAGGAGCTAATGTGGGGTATGGACAGTTTTAAACTCAGCTTCCCAATACATTTGACTATCAATGTCAATTTTGTAATCTTACCAACAATGCCAGTGTTAGAGCACGTTACCAAATGGTAGTTGTCACCTGAAAAATAAAAATTAAAAGGTGCTAGTGGTTTACCAGAGTTTCTTTCAGTCATTAATAATTGGTCCAGCCTGTCATGATCATTTTCTTTTTTAAATAGAGTCTCACTCTATCGCCCAGGCTACAGTGCAGTGGTGCAATCCCGGCTCACTGCAACCTCCGCCTCCTAGGTTCAAGCGATTCTCCTGTTTCAGCCTCCTGAGTAGCTGGGACTACAGACATGAGCCACCATGCCTGGCTAATTTTTGTATTTTTAGTAGAGACAAGGTTTCACCATGTTGGTTAGTCTGCTCTCAAACTCCTGACCTGATGATCCACCCACCTTGACCTTCCAAAGTGCTGGAATTACAGGTGTGAGCCACCATGCCCAGCCCCTGTCAACATATTGTATGCCCAAAATGTCTTCAGGGCAAAGCCACTCATGTTTGCAGGCTTCCATTCCATATTGTCGGGTTCAAAGTGGGAGTGTTCTCAGAATATATGGCTTCATATTTTGCAGCATCTGCTTTACTTGATATAAGAGACATATCATCTCTTGCCCTGAGCTTCTTTGAAAAAATATTGGATTTCCCTTACCAATACCAATATACATTACCCACTTTCTCATCCCTTTCCCTCAACTGTTATTTTCCCCTTCACTCCATTGCACAGGACTAATGAGCAATTTCGACCACTAGGTGATACACTTGCACTCACCATTGACCCCTTTTCTTGCCATATGCAGTGAAAGAGCAACCCATGCAATTAGGCCCTTGGGAATTCTAATGTCAAGGTTTAAAAGTAAAGTCACAGTTTCTTGCTTAGGAATCAGCCCTAC